ATTTCACTGACCTTCAAGCCAACTAAAATATTCAAGTGTTTAAGAGATAGCCTCAGTCTCAGGTGGGTATATTTTGTTATTGAAATAAGCAGAAATTAATTTGTCAAAGGCAATGAGTATTCACCATAGCTAAGGTATTTACCTCTGAAAGCTCTGAACACATAGGGTGGGTGAGTTGGTAAAACAATTTCCGGCTAAGAAAACTGCATTTTGGAATGCAAATCTAAGCAATTTAATGAACGTTTCAAGGAAGTTTAAAGAGAGCGAGAGTTGACATTTAGTGAAATTTTTATGTTTCTCAAGGAGCTCTCTAAAGAAATTAAATATTTAAAGTAAAAAGTGAAGTCTTCAAAACAAAAATCAAGCTATTTATAGCAAATCTCAGAGTGCAGAGAAGGTTATCTATACAAAGCACAAACTTGGGCCTAAAGAGCGCCCCTTTGCAACCCATGCTTTAAGCGGCATTGTGGCTTGCTCTTAGGTCCCTGGTGCCTAGAGGGGGGTGTCTGGCTCACAGCATAGCAAGAGGGAGCACGGCAGAAAGGTTACTGCACACTCTCTAAATTCCAGTCTCAAATCTGCGGTCAGAATCTCAGTCTCACCACTTCCAAGGAGCTCAGTGACCTTGGGCAAGTTACTTATTCACTCAGATCTTCATTTACATAATAGGGTTATGAGGACTCAGTTCATATAAAGTACTTTGGTACCTGGCACATTTCCTAAGATGACGGGCCCTCAAACAAATGTTCGACTTAATTCACTTGCAAAATCTGAAGCATAGGATTTACAACTGCAATGAACCTTACTCCTGATGCAGTGTAGACCCATCTCTTCGTTGTGCAGATGAGAAATCTGCTCCAGGGACCAAAGCTAGTAAGACTGAAGCCAAGTGTGCCATCTCCATAATTACATGAGCAGGGGCTACTTTGCCAGTAAGAAAATCTCCCGTTCTTCTCTTTTCTGCCAACTCCATTCACCAACAACCCCAACCATTTTTTTTTTTTTTAATTTGAGCAGAAAGGTATGGGAGACGCATCCACACACAGTGGTGTATTGAAACCACGCTATCTGCAGGAATAAATTGCTGAAATACAACACTGATATCGTAAGATGCTTAGTTTTGCCCAATTCGCTAAAATAATAAAGCTCTTATTTATTGGCGAACGAACAATACAACCAAGAAGCTACTAACATCTGGGTGGCAGCCAACAATTTTCACTTGTGTTCTTTGTAGGTATGCATTCTTTCTAGGGTCTTAATTTCTTAAAAAAAAAAAAAGAAAAAAAAACTCCACATTTCCAACTTGTAATTTACAAAGCATTCCACATTTTCAGCTGAGGCTGCCAAACAGGCTATTCTGAAAGCACACAGGCATTTTCCAAAAGCGCAATTCAAAGCTGCATGTATTCAATATATGTCAACAAGGAGTACGTGTGTATTAACTGTATGTCCTGAGACACACCCCCTTTCATTTCTTGCATTTGGTGCCTGAAGTGGGAGGGACAATTTAACAAGGAAGCAGCTGCAAGAACAATGAACAAATCTAAAGCCTAGTGACTTTTAGACTTCTGTAGTAAAATATACTGTGCAACTAACAATTGCTGCATTGAAAAATACAAAAAGCCAAGAGGACAAGGAAAAATGCAGTATTAACATAATAGACTAGGGGACATACATTTTCCCTCCCTGGCCCACTCTTCTGGAAACAAATTAATAAGAGCTCATTGGAATGTAAAACAGACATTATTTTATTCTCTTGACAGCATCCCACTTATTTTTTTCCTCCTTTCTTCATGTAAACATGATTACAAATTACAAAAATAAAAGCAAAATATATTAGTTCTCCATTGCTGTGTAACCAATTCTCACAAGTATAGTGACTTAAAACAAAAGAAATGTATTACCTCCCAGGTCTGTAGGTAGAAGTCCGGGTACATTGTGGTCACATTACCTGCTCAGGATCTCTCAAGGCAGAAATCAAGATGTCAGCCAGACCCCGTTCTTCTCTGCAGCTTCTGGAGAATATTCTTCCAAACTCTACTCATGTTGTTTGCTGAGTTCAGCTCTTTGTGCTTGTACAACTGAGGTCCTCGTTTCTTTGCCAACCACCTGCATTCTGAGGCTTGCAATCCCCTCCATCTTCAAAGTCAGCAGCAGAGAGCCCCTCCGCCCTCCCCAGGGAGTGGGGGATCTCTTTGCTCAGGAAGAAGCCCAGTCCCTTTTAAAATCTCCCCTCATTACATACAAGCCACCAAGCCAGTCTATGTTAAGGTGCACTGATTTGAAACTTGAATCACCTGAGCAAAAACCCCTTTCCTGCTTTACTGACACCAGGGGTTTAATTGCCTACCTGGGAGCCAGGGACTGCGCACATTCCCACACCACAGTGGGAACTTTAGGAGCCATTTCAAAATTGTGTTTCCTTCGGCCGGCAAATCGGGATTATAGTCTATTCAATAGGAATTACTAGGTTATTTTTACTGAACTACCATTTTGGATTTTAATCTCTTCTAAAAATACAAACTTTCTTGATATCTGTTCAGACCTAACTGATAAAGAAAAGCAACATGGAAATAAGCATTCTTAAAGCCAATTGCAATTCTTTTAAAAATCCATTTCCATCTCATCTAAGTAACTGATAATTCTCATTATGGTATCCTAGTGATTTTTAAATTCTTTTTAATCAAAGGTTAGTCGTTGACAATTAGGCTCCATGGAGGATTAAGGAAGCATTAATGATGTGAAAATATTGATTTGGAGTTATTGACAATGTAAATAATTTCCATATTACCAGCCATCCTCCCGAATTAGTTAGAAAGCCATGCCGAGAGAAAGAAGACTAGATTGTAGACTGCGGGCCCAGGGAGAGCCATGTGCACAGGGAGTATCCCATCGGTTTTGCTAACGTCAACGGCTGTGATGTTCTACAGACTCTACCATGCTTTTCATTGTTTTCTCCTTTCCTTCGGATCATCTTCACAGCATGAACCACCAATGTCAGGAAGTACAAGACAACGCGTCAAGAAACCTGGCCCTCGTTCTGCTACACCTTTAACCATACGTGCATGTTTAGAAAAGGCATTTATCTCAGGGTCTTGCTGGCCACATTTGTAACATAAAACCATGACAGAAAAGAGAAAAAAAAAATGTTAGAATTTTAGAGCTGAATCGCACCTTTGAGATCATGATCTTTCAAGTTCCAGCCAGCTCGAGTCATATTTATCCAAACATCAACTTGTCAAAAGGGAAAATATTCCGATTAGAGAAATGTGATATTTAAATGGATATTAACAGGGTATTTGGTTTCCTGCTTGGAGTAAGTTATCACTTTTATTTCTTTTAATTTTAAAGTTCTACACGTTTTTACATTTCAATAAATGAAGCATCTTAATCCTGTTCCTAACCCCTCAACACGGAACTACTCTTCTGCTTCTTGCTTCTTTATTTCCAACAGTTAAACGAATACTGTAATCCTACAAAATTGTAGGCACTTCCCAACTCAAAGCCTAATGTATTAAAATCAATTCACTCTTCTCATAATAACAAGGCCATGTCACCTTGCTTTGCATGATCTGTGCAAAAGAAGGAAGAAGCCAGAATTCCCAATTATATTCTTCTGAACTTTGGTATATTGCCATTCCTGAACTTTTGACATAACCTATTTCAATTTATATTTGCTGAGAGGTTATGATATATCTGACTTTGTACCAGACCAGAAGTTTCCTAGGAGCATCTTTTTATCCTCAGCACACAGCACAATGTTTAGAACTTAGCAGGTTCTCAAAATGTTTCCAGAATGAGCGTAGAAACTGCACAGGTCCTGCTTTCAAAGAGCTGACAATCTAGTGGGAAAGATGGGTGTTAGCCCAGTGATACCCATTTCAGGTTTCTAACCTACAAAACTGTAAGATACTAAGTTTGTATTGTGTCGAGCCACTAAGTTTGTGGTAATTTCTTATGGTAGTCATAGGAAGCTAACTTGGGGGTCAGGGAATGAGTTTCAGCTCTGACAAGGCTTCACTGTGGTGGTATGAAGAGTATAGATGCAGGGGAGGGAAACAGATGTTGTTACTTAAATCCTTGCTGTTTCAAAATGTGGTCCCTTCTGAGCAGTCCCAGTGCAAAGTGGCCTTTTTATTTGGAAACGCAAAATGTCAGGCCCTTCGGCACGCCTACCGAACCAGAGCCAGCATTTTAACGAGATCCCCAGGTGAACTGCATTCATATTAAAGTTTGAGGAGCACTAGGTTGAAGTTCTTTTTTTTTTTTTTTAAAGATTTTATTTATTTATTTGAGAGAGAGAGAATGAGAGAGAGAGAGCACGAGAGGGAAGAGGGCCAGAGGGAGAAGCAGACTCCCCGCCGAGCAGGGAGCCCGATGCGGGACTCGATCCCGGGACTCCAGGATCATGACCTGAGCCGAAGGCAGTCGCTTAACCGACTGAGCCACCCAGGCGCCCCTAGGTTGAAGTTCTTAAAAACTATTTTAAAACGTAGAGAAATCTCCGATTCTTTTTTTTTGACGCCAAATTTGCTGGGGAAGAAAATACTCAACTGCACACACAAGATCACTGGCTGCTGTCGGTTACCGCCGACCAAAGAAATAAACATTTCTACTGCTCTTAAGTAATGAGGGGCGCCTGGGTGGCTCGGTCGTTAAGCGTCTGCCTTCAGCTCAGGTCATGGCATCGGGCTCCCTGCTCCGCGGGAAGCCTGCTTCTCCCTCTCCCACTCCCCCTGCTTGTGTTCCCTCTCTGGCTATCTTTCTCTCTGTCAAATAAATAAAACCTTTTAAAAAAATAATAATAATGACAAGGCCCTTCAGTAAAATCCATTTGCCCCACCTGCAAAGGAGTTTCCTTTGACAATTCCCTTTGGTTGAGAGATTTTACATGTCAAAAGTTTTACACCTTGAAATAAGTATTAGAATTCCTGGCATAGTACTTACAGAGCTACGTTGTGGCAGACAAAATAATTTCCTTCACAGAATACATTTTCTTTAATTACTTTAATATAAAAGACAGCAATGTTCCATATTTCACATAATATAAAAAAAAGTTTTAGAACCGTCTTATAAGTTTTTAAAGAAAATAAATTTATTGAAGGGTAGCAATGACTACAAAATTAACACGACCAAATCATGACTCAAGCCTTTGCATTAACTATAATATCTGGAGGATAGGTAGAGAAAACACCAAATAAGAATATGGACTTTGAAAACTCCATTTTATCCAACCTGTAACTCTTTGCTAAATCTGGTGCATATTAGAAGATGTATTCAAACACTGTTGCAAACACATTCGGCCAAAGTCAAAAATTTAAAACAGCTCTCCACTAATTTTATAACATTGCAAACCATTGTTTGCAAAATTAAAACAAAGAATGGCCCAATGAGTATTTCTAAGTAAAAGATTCTGCTAAAAAAAGAGAGAGAACATTAACAGAGAATGAGTGATTGCAACTAGAATAAGAAAATTAGCAACATCAATAAAGACATAATTATTCAATATACATTTGTTTGGTTAGATCAGCGCAACTCACTCAAGTAGTTGACTGCACTGTGAAGGAAAAGGTAGCATGATCCATAGGCCTGTTTGAAATTCTCACCTAATAATCCTATTTCAATCTACTCGCTAAAGTAAAAGCAGAGTCCATACTACAACAGGCATCTTAACAATACTACGAAAGTCAAACCGTTACCGGTACATTTTTTTTTTTTACAGTGCACAATTTAAAAGAAAACATCACGAGAGTATTCACTTTAAAAAATGACCAGTGGATACAGTATACACAAAACAAACACCTCCATTATAATTTTTTTAATAAATAAAAGCACATTAACAAAAAAAAAGAAGATAGGCAGCACCTGAAGCCTTTGACATTTGTAACTAAATGCTGGTACCCAAATGGTCTAATTGGTTATGTCTGACTAAGAGGCGCAAAAAAGGAGCCAAGTTTTGACTTTAACATTTTAATTCTAGTAGAGACAAGAGCTTGTCTGGGCTTACAGTCCTGTCACCTGATGGTGAGTACCATACCAGTCCTTCAAATGTCCTTATACTTTGGAAAGCAGGCCTGACTCTGGAGCACTTGCCTTAATTAAATTCTGAATCTCCTTGAATTTTGGATGGTCTTTATCTGCCACCAACTGTAGCAGAACAGCCTCACTCGTGGTCACTATGATCCCGGTTCGAGCAAGACGCTTTAAAAAAAAAAAAAAAAGGACAAATCAAGAAATGAGCATGACAAGGAACACTGTGTTACAACAGCAAAAGCTATGGCGGGTCACAATAATTAGTGTCCTCTATTAAAACCACGGTCCAATCGCTTCTTAGCCTTGTGGCTAAGATCATGTGTAAAAACCGTGGTCCTTAGCCAGAACATCAAATTCAGGGATGGGGACAGATTTCAACCTAGTCACACCACAAACCCATTTATGATTATTCTCGATATTAGTAATACGGACTAGAAACAAGCAAAAGAAAACATGAAGCTAATATTATGACTTCTAAGTGCCAGGGACAGAAGAAGGGAAATCAAGACTATGAGTGTAAAACAATGATGGTTGATTTCCTTTTTCTGTCTCCAAACATCTGACAACTGATATACAGCAATGTGTGTCCTTCTCATAAGCCAGAAACGACTGGTGGTAGGAGAGCCTCATGCAACGTGTGAGAACGCACGCCCCTGGGTGGATAACAGACCCACCCGCACTGCCACCACCATAAACTTCAGAATCACGAAACAAGAGCAAAAAATTTAAAGTTTCGCTGACAGGTCAGAGAAGGTCCTTGCCAAATCGCCCCAGTGGAATTGTAACAGAGGAGCGAGGACAGAAGTCTCAAGGAGGGAAGGATGGAGACAGGCGGACAAAGAAGACAAAGTCGAGAACAAGCAGGAGAGGGGTAGAGAAGGGAAGGAGAGAGAATTCTGGAGTTAGACATGTCTTCTCTGGCTGTCTCTATTACCAGAAACCATAGGGAAAAAACCGGCCAACTGCTGTCCCAAGAACCATCAGCTGTGAGAAGACAGGTGGCTGGACACAATTCCTAGGCAGGTCAGAGGAAAAGACCCTGAGCAGTCATTCCTCAGGAAGAAGGAGTCAGGACGAGAGCCAAGACGTCCTCGGAGAGTGAAGGTGAAGCCTGCAGACACTTGAGGATGCGCAGGCCCAACCTTCCCACTGGCAGAGCAAACTCTCCCTTTTTGTCCCCAAGCACGCAGGAGAGAGAAGCCAGAGCCCGCTTCTCGGGAAGCCAGCGTGGACCTCAGCCCAGCAGAACGTGCAGAAGAGCATGCAGAGCAGCCGACCAGAACGCTCAAGCAGGATTACGTAGGAAAGAGGGAGGAAAAAAACCCAAGCGTGCTGGTACCCTTTATGTTGGGGACAAATACCTGAAAGTAAGTTTTCTAAAGACTTCTGGAAACTAAAGTCCTCCTTTTAGTCCACTTCTGACTATCCTATCAAAACCCTTAGAAATCTCCAGGACCGTGTGCTTCCCTCCCAGAGAAGAGCAGGGGGCAAATGTAAGACTAGCTGCAGCTCAGCCGTGTCAGGTGTCAAACGCGGCTCCCGCGCTCACCAGCTGGAGGCCCTGCCCGGCCTCCCTCCCTGCCCGAGGTTCAATCAGGGGACTCTCAATGATTCACTCTGATTCTCAATCACACACTTGCAGTGTCTGTGAAAGTGCCTGATACGTGCAAAAGTGCCGAGAGAGGTCAGTTCTCGCTCATCTTTCTAGGTCCTTCGTGAGGCAGGAAGGACAGAGAACTGTTCCCAGGTCTAAGGAAGAAAGCTGATGACCCCCAAAACACCAGCTTTCCCCAGTGCTCCGCTGACCACAGTCTGGTTGACTCCAGGCCAACACTCCTCGGTGAGGCTGAGAGTTGGGTCACCGGGGCAGAGGGAGGCTGGGATGCTCGAGGCACATCTTAGTCAACTGATACCAACGTAGTATTCTATAGCTTCAAGACGGAGATATGGCCAAGGTTGACCGGATTCAAAAAAAAAAAAAAAATCAAGCCAAACCTGGGTAAGCAGAAGGCGTGGCTCAGCAACATGCAAAGTTTTCCAAACAGCCTCCCAGACCTTCCCATGGTGCCTGCCAACCCCAAATGAAAGGCGACTGGGCAGAAAGAGAAAAGCAACAGCTTCTGCAGACACGGGCAGGTCTGTGCACACTCACGTGCACTATTAGGACACCTACAGTCCTGCTCCCAAACTCTTTCTCTCCTGGCTGAAAATGAGGTGAAAACTTCAAACCGCGGCTCTTTAATGCACACAGGTATAGGGCTTCGTCGGCTTCCAAACTCCATCCCCTACACTTACAAAACCAGTCCAGCAAGGCCAAAGGCAAAGTTATTCTGACCCACAAACCTCAAAATGCAAGGGCACAAAGCCACCAGGCTTTCAGAGATGGCAAAGGGTGAAAAAAAAACCTAAACCTAGTAAATTTCCAATCAACATGAACACACCCGCGCCCCCACAAGTCCAAGGGTATCAAGTTCCAGAGAGGGTTTCATTCTATTTTATTCTACATTTAGTAGTTGAAAAAAACAATGCCTGACAAATGTCGGTGCTCAAAATATTCTGTTGAAGAAAGCACATGCCACAAACCTTGGCAATGAAATTTCAGTAACAGTACTATAAATCTTATTAGTATAATAATCTCAACAGGCAATATGGGTAGTCTCAGGAATTCCGTAAGTAGCTATGTTCTAAAGGAACAGGGAAGGCGAGCTGGCCGGATTGCTCTTTAACTTTCAAAGTCCTACAGTAAAAGAAAAAAAAAAAACTAACCTTTCTCCCAATAAGTTAGGTACAAACTACAACACCTCCATCGAAAATTAAGACCTGCGTTCAAACACGTGTTATCCCTCCCGGGTCTGGACTCCTAATCACTGAGATCAGACTACTTCTCAAAGAGTGTCAGATGGTAAACAGGTTCACCATGTTTTTATTCCCAGTCTTAGGAGAAGACAGAAGTGCCAACCATCATAATTTTCTGTAATAAATGCCATAATAAAGACATGTCTCAAAAACTTATTTGAATGGAGGGCAAAAGTCCTTGCAATTTCTTTCTAAGCAAGATTATTGTTATTTTTGGATGTTTTTAGTTTTCCACTTCCATGGAAACACTTCAAGTTCTGGAGCTCAGCCTTCCTAGAGAAGGGACAGCCAACCAGGGCCTTAAAAAAACTGCTGCTGCCAAGCCCCAACTTGCTTCCGCATCGGCCGTCTGCACTGACTTTGCTCCTTCCTGGCCTCTGACACTCTCATGTGCTCTACCTCAACACCCCTGGGAACACTCTCGGCTAAAGCAATGATTTGGCAGTCCAACAGAGAAAGTGGTTCATAGGCCAGCTTGGGCCTGAACACTGGAGGATCTCAACAACAACGACAAAAATATCTGTATCTCCCATTCTCAGTAAAAATCATCAGTTAAAAGAACATGCCAACTCAATCCACATGGACATGACTCTAAAATTATTACAGAACTAGAAATAAACGTGAGAGAGGCAACAATCCACAATATGGAGTGACTTGTTTCAAAGGATTACGTGGTAGTTTGCTTTTCAACAGTCTTGCAAGAGAAAATGCTTATGAAAGACTGACAAAACATCTCTGATTCCCTGACTATGGTCCACCCTGATCCTCCGGGGCAGACAGCAAGAAACACTGTGTGTGAGTGGTGTCCACAGGCAGTGACACACCTCCCATGTCCAGAAATTCAAGTCCAAGGAAACCCAACAGAGGCTGAACCAGGCTTAGGCCCACCATGCCCTAGGGTTGGGCTGAGTTAAACCTAGGTGGGCTGTTTCTGATTTGCAAATCTCTCAATGATGCAGATTAAGCTTACCAGAATGCCTCTTACAAGTTCATACATCAAACTACAGCAAAGTTATGAGGAAAGATGTACAAGAACTTTTGGTGCCACCAGAAATCTAGATCTGAGGAGACAGAGGATATAAAACAAGATTTAGCGGCAAGACCTCAAAGGTCAGTCAGCGCACCATCAAGACTCTGGAAATCGATGAATCTGATGTTGTTAGAAGAAACTCAAATTGAAGATGTCACTATTTCATTGCTATGAAGTATTCATGATTCTTCAAATTAATTGGGAAAAGTTGATAAATTATTTATTTTCAAGCAGGACAATTACCTCAAGAGCAAACATCCGATCCATCATGCTTCTCGATGAGGTGGCATCAGCAACAATATGAACCTCAATACCTCGGCCAACTAGCTCCAGAGCTGTTTGCTGGATACACACATGAGTCTAGGAAGAAAATTAAAAATCCTACGTAATAATGCAGTCACACATTTTACAAACGTGCGACAACATGGTAAAGCAGGAAAAAGCACTACAGTTTTCATGACCTTGTCCTACATCTGATGTTGCCTCTAACTTGCTAGGTGATCTTGAAAATAAACAGCATCTCAGGCTTTGGTTTCCTCACTGTAAAGTCAGAAATTGGATTACATCACGCTTCCTCATACTAGGATCCTTGAAGAGATTCTTGGAGCTCCATGAGAATTTTTTTAAAAAGATTTTCATCTGTCATCTGGATGACCTTCCTAGGGCTGACTACTACCACTCCATTTTGATGCCCCTCGCGGTTGGGTTTATTTCTGAACTCACTCTGAGTGCCTAACACAAAGAATGAGTCAGCAGTACCGTAGACGGAGAAACAAGTAGAAAAACTAAGTTGGTACGAGGTATCCAGTAGTAAAGGTAGGCCAAGTTAAAAATAACAAGTGACAAAGGCAGAAAATATCCAGTATACGGCACAAGCAGATGTATTACAGAGATTCCATCTTTGTAGGTACTAACTTGTAACAATTCATTAGCAGAGAATACAGAGCAAAACTATGCCCGACAAGAGCTCCGTTACGTAAGCAATGAAAGCACATTTCAATAATACCAGGATGCCAACCTTATGTGCATGTGACAAGTGAGCTTTCGAGAATTATCAACTGACATGCCATTAAAATTGGCACTGGAGGACTGTTCAAAGATGATTTTGATTAGGTATGAGGTCTAATAACAATGAATGAGCAAAAAAAGTGCCCAACTCAGCGACAATATTTGGCATGACATATTTATATAAACAGGCTTCCTCTATATTATCATTATTGAAGTCAAGATACAAAAATATTTAATGTACACCTAAACCTAAGGCTGCATCTTTCTACTCTGAAAACCTACTGTATAAAAACCTACCATCATAGGTATATTAAATTAATATTATTTAGATTTCATTGTATTTATTTTTTTCATAATTCTTAAATGTAATTCAATAGCTATTTAAATGTTATGAATAAATACATATATATCTTCTTTATACATATGCAAAAAAAAGAGATCAAACAAAAATCATTTTAATCAGCATGAGGAATCCAGGAGTATTTTTTAAAAAGATATGTCAGTGATTTAAGCATAAAGGACAATGAACTACATGACTTCTAAGTTTTTTCTACAGCAAAAATATGACCAAGATGAAATCCTACAACACATCAATAAAAATAACGCCTCTGATGAAAATGTGCCCCAAAAGTAGTAATTAAAAGCAAAGGCCCAAGAATTGATCAGCCGAGATTCAAATCCAACCCCATCCCTTAACCAGCTACATGCCTCAAGCAAATTATACAGCATGTGTGTTTTAGTCTCCTCATGTGTAATAGGGGGAGACCGAAAGTACTTAATTGGCTCAGAAAGTCACCGGCAGTGTTAAATGAATGAAGAGATACAGACCACTGCCATGCAAAGAGTCAACACTCAATAAAGGGTGGATGTTTTTCATCATTACTATCACCTACCACCTAGTCTATATATAAAATTGCACTGTCGAAATACCAAGTTCTTCTACAAATGATATTGTATCCCAAACATAACAAGAGGCACTTACTTCTACTCCAAATAATACAACACTCCGGACTCCAGGAATCTCGGCTAATGCTGCTTCTACTTCTGGTATTACCATTGAAAACTTGGTCTTTGGAAGGACGAGTTTTACACCTGTTAGGTCAATTTCTTGAACGGTGCTTCCAAGACCTTTAGGGTACTGTTCTGTTACAATAACTGGAATTCCTAACATTCGGGCCCCTTGTAACTGGAAAAAACAAAAACCAAAGATAATTAGCAATATACATATCTGTAAATATATACATGTATATCATGCTTCAGGAAATTGGAAAAAATAAACAAGCAAACATACCAATCTTTGTCCCACACTAATAATATCCCCGAAATATTTGATGGCTGGTCTGAATCGTTCCTGCATATCACAGCAGAAAAACACAGTGCTTGAAGGTGTAAGATTTCCCAGGGTGGTGAGCTGAGGAAAAAAGAAAAAAGAATGATTTAGCACTCGTTATACAACGACATTTATTTTCAGTGGAGGTCAATAAAGGAGAAAAGTGTTCCTACTGTTTGACCCAGTAAGTCAATTTCTACAACTATTATCCAAAAGAAGAGATCCGAATTACAGAAAAAAAAAAAAAAAGTTATCCACAAAGATGTTGACTGAATTGCTTTTAATAGTGAAAATGAGAAATAAACCAAGGACCAACAATACAGAAATGATTTCACAAATATTAACAGTCCCATGATAAAACATTTTTTTAGAGAACTAAAATAACATATGAAAATAAGTGTTCAAAATATTTGAACCATCTATGAAGAAATACTCATGATCTAATGTTAATTTTAAAAAGAGAGCACAGTTCAACAGCACCTCAATCATGTAAAACTATAAATAGAAGGTAGAAGCAAATATATGAAAGTAGTTAACACAGTTATGTGTGCTGGTAATATTTTTCTTTATAGGTTCCTTACCTTCTCCAAATGCTACTTAAAAACCCTTCCCAAATGTTACTTAAAAATATGCATTGCTTTTATAATTAGAAAAAAATGTTACGATAGTAAACAACTTAAAGTTCGATGATGGCACTGCTTACAAGTACGAAAAGTAATCCTGAAAATAATCTGTAGCAGAGACTATGGAACATAAAACTGAAAAAAAAGAAACAAATCCAGAATCACTCTGTCATCAAGACAGAAATATTAAGATGCTGTTCTCAGGAATAACTTCTCAGAGTTCAAAAAAGAAATGCAATGAAATGATGCCAGGCACAACATAAATTGGACACCTGCATTCTTCAACATATTCATCACCATCAGGAAATTAATGAATTAAGGTTAAAAACAGGCATTAGATTACCTAGCTTTAATGAATTGCCAGAGTTGCTCTACAGTAACAACTTGGGCTCAGTATGAATCTACAAAAGAAGTGAAAACCACTGGTGAATGTTAAGAATTTCATGTCACTCATGGATTCTTAAAGGTCCATGATGCTTTTCTTCTTACCTTCTCAAATTTCAGAAAGCACTGTAGAGGAAGCAGTCCAGTCCTGAATGAACCCTTGCCCCTCCTCTTACTAGCCAGCCCTTAGATCTCCCCTCGAATTTTCCCATTTTGCCTAAAACCACCCATGGATAATAGCTGTTAATAATTTTCTAGAGAAACCTGTGTCCCAATTACATGGTGGTGGTTTTCCCACCAGCCTGGCCCTAGACCCTCCCTACAGGCCCTACCACTGAGGGCTACTCTCAGGAAACAGTCACCAGAGGAATTAAATGAATCATTAAAAGGAATCTTTTATCCTTCCAGTGAGTTTGTACTTTCCTATCTAGGTGCTAGTCTGGGGAACTCTGGTACCCGGCTCCCTTTGGTGTGAACTCTATAGACCAAGTTCATGGCAGAATGGGAGTGCCATCTGTAATTCTAACACTATGCATAGGGTTTCCCTAGTTTGCCAATAAAGTATGATTAAAATAAATATTCAAGCATCTTAAATTATATATTCTATCTTTAACTGTTTGCTCCCTTAAATTTTTAATGCAAGTATCATTTTCTAAAGCAGTGAGCATGTATATATAAGTACCTAGGACACAATTTTTAAAACCAATCACTATTTATAAATATGTATTTTAAATTCTCAGGAAAAATTAAATTTTGGATGAAAGGGCTCAAAGTCTAAGTGGGTCCCTAGATACCCACAATGTGTTTAGGGCTCACGACAGAATGTGGTTTACCTGCAACTGGTCAGTTTCAAATTAGAGCAATGCAACCCAGCCATTCTCGTCATTCCACAGCAGGGAAAGCAGTAAGCAGGCCAAGTAAACCAAAGTAAGTGTGCCGGATGGCCAACCATTATCATACTTAGAGCTCATAGCAGCTTTATCTCCAGCTCACAGATCTCACCTAACGGACGAACTCAGTATACATTCCTAACAAGTTTAGTTGTCCTGACCCTAAATTCACAGAAGGTTATAAACAGCAAATCAGAACGGAAGCTGCTGGAGATAGGCAAACGGGGTATCGGCAAGAAATGACAGATGACAGAGAAAAGATTCAAAATACACTAAAAGGTCAAAACTCAACTAGTCACATCTAGACTTCTAGTGGAGGAGTATGTATATAACTTATAAATTGGGACATCATTTTAGCACACTCAATAAGAAAATGTTAAATTATATAGTACTTCAGGACCACGATATTAAAATGGCCAAAATATTTAATACTGGGATACTTAAAGGAATAAAGCCTTACCTACCCAGAAACCCTAAATATTCAGAGTTGTAGTCTCCTGGGGTTTCTGTTCCTACCTCCTTTCAGCTGTGAGGTCTCCTGTTCTGGGCAGGGGGCCACATCAGATATATGTCATAGTAGACACGGACTGAGGACGTCAGAAAATGCTGCTATAAAATCCTCACCACCTTGCAAAACCCTTCTAGTACAGGAACTCACCTATTAACCTTCGGCAAACAGAAACAACAGAGATAATGTGACAAGGCATGCTTTTATGCAGAGATGACTGGTTATAATTTAGTGAATCAAAAATGCCCAGATACCCTCCTCTCTGTAAGGCAGAGTCAAACTCCTGACATCCCCTTGGATGTGGCATGAAGTAATTTGCTTCCTCAAAGTAGAATATAGAGGGGGTCGGGTGACTATTGACAGTGGAAAAACCTGGCAGACACTGCCTCAGCCATGTGATCAAAACCGAGATAATCAGGGATGCCACACTGATAGTGTCCCGTCTTGAAAAAACATGAGGAGAACGACCTTCACGACCTGCCTCTCAGAATCCCACAACCCCATTTGAAGCAGGAGAAAAACATCAGATAAACCAAAACTGAGGTACATTCTACCAAAATATCTGACCAATACTTGTCAAAACCATGATGTCATCAAAAACAATACAAATCTGAAAAACTGTCATTGCCCAGGGAAGCCTAGGAAGACATGACAACCAGACATAATTAGTATCCAAGAATGGATTGTAGAAGAGAAAAATGGCACTCGGGAAAAACCTGTGTAATGTGAATGAAGTGTAGAGCTCAGAGAATCATATGTACCAATGCTGATTCCTCAGCTGTGCCCAGCATCGTGCCCAGTAATGTAAGATGTTGGTTGGGGGGGAAACTAGGTACAAGTATCCAGGATCTCTCTGATCTCTGCAACTTTGCTGTAAGTCTAACACTACGCTAAAACTAAAAGCTTATTTTTTTTTTTTTTAAAGAAAACAACAAAAAAAGAGCTATCCCTACGCTATGGTAGTTGGGAGAAAAAATGCTACTTTATGAATAACCTATATAATTGATAAAGCCAGAAAGAAGGCTTTGAGGCGACAATAAAAAGGAGAAAAAAACAAAACAAAATAACAACGCTGAAAAACTCTCACCATGTCCCACCAACCCACCCCCCAAATCCACATGAATTCAAGCAAGTTATTAAATTACACCCTGAGTCTAAAATCCGGAGACTTCTTAATTTGAGTCATGAATTTCTCTGAAACCAAAACCTTGTAGATAACTAAAAAAGCTGCTCAGACACACGCTCTAACTGCAAGATAACAAATTAAAAGTGCACTTGACCAAATGCCATCACAAGGAAAAAACAGCAATTACAGATCACTGCATATTCAAGAAACATGAAAAAAAATCACATATAAAAATATGTGTGTGCATACACACTTTCATATACCTATGTATCTACAAACATCTCTATACCTACACACACATAGATAATACATATTTCAATAAACCTATTTAAATACAAAAAACTGATCAGAGCCAATAGCCTCCTCAAGCAAGAGTTTCAGAGATAAATTTCAAGTATAAATTTTTGTCCACTTTCTTAAGAAATGTCATAGCTGGAATCTGACCTTAGATTTCACAGTCAAAAGACTTTTCACTCCCAAGTCCCATTATTATGGTTATCATGACAGTATTTCCCTCTCTTCACTACCACCTGTGTTCTGACCATTTTCTAACAGTGGCTGTCCATCTGCAAGGAACGTGTCCCACTTCTGCTAAGTGTCCCTGGTTACTCAAGACGGGCACATATAGAGAGGCTGGCCTTGCTCAGTGATGCTCTCTCCGTGCCCCAGTTCTGTTCTTCCATAAAAGCAATTCACGGTGAGTGTGACATGTTGAATTCTGTCCCCCAAAATCCGTATGTTGAACTCCTAATCCCTAGGACCTCAGAAAGTGACCTTATTTGGAAACAGAATCATTGAAAAATAATTAGTCAAGATGAGGTCACACTTGAGTGTGAGTTGAGTGCCGACACCAACATGACTAGCATCCTTATAAAAAGAGGCAATTTGGACAGAGAAGGCCTTGGGAACATGAAGGTAGCGATGAAGGTGATGGGTTTATACGCCAAGCAATACCAAAGATCACCAGCAAACCACCAAGAGACAGGAAAGAAGCATGGAAGAGATTCTCCCTCACAGTCCTCAGGAGTCAACCCTGACTGCTAGCCTCCAGAACTGTGTGGAAATAGACTGCTGTTGTAGAAGCCACTCAGTGTGTGGTACTTTGTTATAACAGCCTTGTAGTGCGAACTACTACAGTGAGTAAACTGTGTTATCTTTAGGAATGATTAAAGTTTCAAATTGTAAGTGGGATGTGTTCAAAACTGTGGTAGTCTATGAGAGTCACAAGATAGGCATGGATGTGCTCAGGAGAGAGTCCAGAAGGGCAGTCGGGTATCATTATTTCACTCACAAGTATTTGCAAGGAAATGTGATTACCACAGCTACAGCAAGGCCTTGCTCCAGCTTGGACTCCCTTAAAACAGAGTTTTATGACGTGATTCCCTTGGGGTTACAAGCCTCCCTACACAGCAGAGCTGTGGGCATTAGAATCTGAGACCAAATCTCAATTTCCCTAAATTCAATTACATGAACTCAGACAAATCATTTACATTTTCAAACAGCAGTGTCTCAATCTGTAACGAAGCAACAAAACAGTATCTACCTCAGAGGGCTACTTCAAGGTTTCAACGGGCTTCATGTAATCAATCAATAAATTCATAGTTCCCACGCTCAAACACAGCTTATTTACAGGTAGCCTCCACAAGGGGAAAAAAGCATACAATGCAGTAATCTAAATGCTGAATTTTTTGAAAGTCTCACACACACACACAATCCCATCGAACCAATGGGGGAGAGACCAACAACATCCCTCATGATCCAGATGTTTCCTCTCAGTGCCCGACACCGTTGACCTCCCAGGGATCTGTCCCGCCGGCTTCTCTTTTCTGTTTCTGAGCATTACTATCTATCTGCTCCTCCTACGTGCTCCCACAGGAAAGGTTTCATAATCAGAAACCACCACCTTCAAACCAGCGAGCCCAAGGAGGGACAGATTCCTTTCCTTCTTCTTGACAAACCCTGTCTTCTCTCCCTTCCCACCATGAACTCTGGGGTCTCTTCTGGCTAGGAAATGTCATGCCCTCTGTTAAAAATAATAACAGTAGTAATAAACCTCTAAGAAAGTGAAGGTGCTGGAGCCAAATCCCTTCCCAATTAACCATCTCAGGAAAGGTCAAAATAACCCTCCCAGGGAAGTCCTTATCTCCCACCCCACACGAAGCTGCCAGAGCCTTCCCTCCTCCGTACAGAGGCAAAATGGCCTCACTGGCATTCTCCTCATCACGTCCACCTCTTCCTCTCCTCTGTTCGGGCTCTGTCTTCCACGGTGACAAGCTGGAAAATACACTGGTGGTGGTAGGATATCAAATGTACAGGAGTTTCCAGGGTTGAATGCGTCCGTTAGTAAAAACTTGGGAAATGCCTTTGGAAAAATTAAAACTTGTAAGTTGTAAAAATGACCCAAATGCCCACCGTTTGATCCTCTCCTTTACATTTCTTCCTCTGCGTCTCAAAATGCCTCGGACTTCAAGCATTCTGACAAAGCCGAAGAGACATAAAACATGAGCTGTCTTCAGCTACCTGAGCTGTCAGCAGACACTCGGTCACTGTGACAGATTATTTCAGAGAAGACGACACTCCGAAGTCCCATACTGACACCGGGGGTCTCAACAATCGGTCCCCACAGAACCACTAACCCACCACAGGTGCGCAAGTTATGACACAGGAAACCACTGCGTTTTACAAGGTCATAGCAGTAACAGTCAGAAAAACATGAAAACAAAGTCACTCCCCTATGTACATTAAGAATTTACTCTAGAATATACAGTATGTGAGCCAGGGCCCTAAAGGCTCTAAGCTCTATGGTCAAGGAAATAACAAGTTATATTATTTAAGCAGTGGACTACATGGGACCAAACTGACGCTCTCTGTCCCTGCCTCTGGGAGAAAGGGCCCATCATGCCCCAGGAGCACGGCCTCACTGATGGGCCATCTTGAGCCTTCCGGAGTGACAGGCACTGACTGATTCCAAAGAACAGTGAACACCAGCCAAACAAATATTACAAGCTCAAGTTTGTGGCCTGTCCTCTATTCTGCTTGATATTTTCATTAAGCACGAAGAGAGAAGATGAATGCTCTAGTCAGCTACAAGGGAGGACTTGATGCTCCACCATTATCAGAGAACCTTGGGCAAATTTCCTCTATGTTCCGCTCTTTTGCAAAATGAGCATTAGGTTATCAGGTAAGAAACAAGAATGGGGTCTTATCCATGTTTGGGTTCATCGTGCCAGGCACTTACAGCTGCCACTCAAATGTTCTTGTGATGAACTCTATGGTCTCATTTAGCTATAAAATGTCCATGTCTCTAGGATCATACAGCTAGGTTCTAAAAACATAAAATAAAACGTTCATGAAAAGAACTATCTTCCCTCTCACTTTTGAGTACATACACACATAAGGGCATGTGTGTCTATATATATATATATATAGAGAGAGAGAGAGAGAGAGACACACACATATATACATACAAATAGGTATCAGCATAGTTTTACGGATATATATGGAGTGTGTGTAGCCTTCCACATTTATTTTATGGCTGGAGAAGGCACCGGGCCGAAGAAGTCAAAAGTATTATGATTACTAAAAGGAGATAATATAAAGAAAAATATTGTTAAAAACTTTAAAATATTTAAAGTTAAGAACTCTTGGGCTATTTAGTGGGCTATAAATAACATTTTTTAAAAAGATGGACCAAAGTTGTGCTATTATTATTTTAAACATCACCACCAAAAAAATGTTATCTCCTATACCAAGCAAAAGCCACAAGTGACCTGAATTATAAAATGGCTTTTGAGAATGTACAGGACATTTCAGGTATACACATATACATCATTAATTTCCAGAATGTTTCATTAAAAAGAGTTGGCAGACCCGGGCCTTGAATGTTTCAAAATAAATAAATCTGATCTTGGTGGGGAAAAACAGACTTAGAAATGTGGGGTGCAGGGGATCGCTAGTTTGACCACATCTTACTAGGTATAGCCCACCCTCCCTCCCAACCACTACAGGAAATGCTTCACAAAGAAGTCTGCATCTTCAGTTCAGCTCCAGACCTGCTCAGTTAGAATTTGGATTCTGGCCTTTATTAATGGATTTGTCAAAGGTGCATCCAACTTCTTGGGTATTTTGGCAACAATAACCTAAATACACTGACAAGGAAGGCTGCAGAGAGGTGTCAGCCATGAAAACTCCTGCAGACATAAAAATGGGGGGGTAGTAAACACCTACCCACCACAATTCTCACAATTCTCTGTATGGACAACAGGGCAAATTCTGGGGTATCAGAGATCATCCCTCTAGGATCTCCACGGGGGTAAACAGTGGAATCTCATAGCCTTTGTCCTCTGAACATAGGAAATTTATCCAGGTAAAAGTATCTGCTTTGGAAGCTTCTGGTATGGGTGCTGGGGTGATAAGAAACAAAACCAATTCTGTCGCTAGCTGACTACAGCTAGGGAAAAAAAAAAAAATCTAGAGAATACTCTTAAGAATATGACACGCAAAAACAAAAAAAGAATATGACACTTGAATATTAAAATGCCTTCTAAGCCTGATTCCCAAACTTCAGTTTGGTCTTCAAAAGAAATGGCTTATCAGTTTCTCAACGAAAGAAAAATTGATAGTGTAGTACCTAAAATATACCTTATGTCCTCTCTTTTCAAAAATAAAAATCCTCCAGTGAAGCCTCTGAGCGTAAAAAGGACAAGAGACAGGCCCGCATAGTTATTAGTGCATGACTTTAAAAAAATATCTAAAAGCTATAAAATAATCCTCAGGTGCAGCAACTTTCTCAGCCAGGACCATCGGAAAATCCTGGTGAAGCGAAAGTTGGGTAATTAACAAGGTATTACAGTCCTGGAGTCAAATGACTTTTTCAACGAAGGCGACGCATATATAGTCAACAGATTCAGTAACCAGTTACCAGGACGAGGCTACGCACTTAAGGTTAGGGGAGGCTTAAGCTCCAGGAACTGTAAGCTGGGGAGAGGAGCGGGGAAAGGTCTGGCTCCTGAAGTTTGTGTTTCCGCACACAACTCCGGGTAACAAACCCTAAGACCAACACTCCGCGTCAACTCTTTACCCCATTCGGCAGCACTCCCACAGAAAATCACAGCTAGTACCGCACAGCCCTTGGGTTACGCAGGCGGCTGGACTTGCTCTTGGCACACAAAGCGGATGCGGGCGGTCGAGGACCACACACGTGGGGGCGTTCTCGCCTTCCCGGACGCGCTGGGAGGCCCACGCCCCCGCTTCGGGCGAGGACAGCTGGTGACCGTCACCTTCCGACTGGCCCATCCTCTGGGCCGTCCCCGAGGACTGCGATCCCGGCGCAGCCCTTCCAAGCCAGCGAGGCGCGCAGGGCCCGGCGCCAGGGCGGCGCGGGGCACCTGAGGAGCGCGGCGGAGGCGGAGACAGGGACGCGCGGAGACCGGGAACAGTGGCGGGGCGCACGGCCCTCTCGCGGGACCCACCTGGATCTGAAGCGGCACGAGGCGGACCTTGCAGCGCTCGCTCACCGCGAAGCCCTTGGGCAGGTCCACGTACTGGCCCCACTCCTCGGCGAAGAGCTGCACCACGAATTTGCGGTGCATGTCAATCTGGTCGCCGTACAGGCTGAGGAACTTCTGGATGAGCAGCTCGTAGCCCGCGCCGTGCGGCACGGACGAGGGCCGCGCAAAGACCGAGAAGCAGAAGAGCACGGGGACCGTGCCCGACGGCGCCCCCGCGCCCGCGCCGCCGCTATGGGGGAGCGCCGGGACAGCCAGCTCCGCCGCCGCCATGTTCCCCCGAGCGTCTGCCAGCTCCGAAGACAGCGAGGCGCAGACAGGGCCGGCCCCCGCGGCCCCGCCTCCCCGCGCCGCCCGCCAGCTCGGGAAGGCGAAGGGGCGGGCCCTGGCGGCCGCCGCTCGCGCGCCCTCCCCCGCCCCGCAGAGGGCGGACCGCGGCGGAGGGCTGGGCGGTGGGGCCGGGGTGCGCGCGAGCCAGCGCCTGCGCCTGCCTCCGGGACCGCCCCCTCCAACCTGGACCTGGCTGGGCGGCCCCGAGGCGCGCTTAACGCGCGGGAGAGGTGTGTGCCCCCCGCCCTTCGCCAGCGCTCCGCCCCCCTTCGGACAAGCGCTGTTCGCGGGGAGTTTACGTAGTCCTTGGGGACCCAGGGCTGCCCGGGGCTGAATCTGCCCGGACGGGTTACCTGTTGGCCTTGTGCGGAGACAGGCGGGCAGTCCTCTTCGGGGGTGGCAGCAGTAATGTCAAAACCGATAGGTCAGACTGATAGAGACCCTAAGAAGAGCAGCAGAATCTAATGTTTCCTTGAGAGGGTCATCCGAGGAATTTCCTATTTTTTCAGTGCCATGGAATACAGTATCTCTAGGAGTGAATCTGAGATCTTGGCCTCCCTTTATCTCAAACCAATTTCAGGGAGAACTTGGATTGGGAATTGCAAAATATAAAGAGGTTTATGAGTAAAAATCGAGACTTTCTATTCAAACTGAGTTTTTCTGTTTTTAAGTGAGTAAAAGGTCAAATAAAGTAACCCCCTGCCTTATGAACACCATAAAGCACTATCTACAATTAACTGGAATTAGAGAAGCATACACTGTAAAGTTTCCTTTGCATCAGGTCGTGGGTCAAGATAGGCTCACGAGTCGAAACACATTTTAGGTATTGGGGGTTTCCTCTTCTTGGAATGTAATAACTTTTAAGTCAGTGCATTTGTAGGATGTTTAGCAGCATCTCTGGCCTCTACCCGGTAGATACCAATAGTCCAGGCTCGTCCCTACTCTTCACAATCAAAAATGTTTCCAGGCATTGCCAAACATCCCCCGGGGGGGGCAAATTTGCTCCCAGTTGAGAACTACTGCTTTCAAGTAATGTTAAGACCTCCATTTGGCCTTTATTGCTCACTTGTACCCAAACTACTAAAAATAGTCTGTTTTCTGATTTCTTTTCAAATTCTGCGAGATTCCATTAAAAACTCTTACTGTCTGAACCCATCAGACCCAAAATGATATTTTTGCAGCTATCACTCCATTGCAAGGTCTTGCATATGCAGATGTAAAAATCTGTGCTAATAAGAGTGACAATCGCAAAGTTCCACTGATGCTCCAGGAAAAAAAAATAGGGAAAAAATAATTGACAACTAAAAGCTAAGTATGAAAACCAGAGGCCTTTTCAGCAGCATTGAAAGAGGTTTTCAATTCCTGCAGTAGGAAGACAGGGAATGCTGAGGACCAAATATTAAGAGTAGCAGAGCTCCAAAGAGGGTTAAACTCTTAAACAGTGCATATTTTCTATGCCAAGGCCAGAAAAAACCTTGGTTGGAAATGGAACCATGACACAAGAGATGGTGTTGATGATGCCCAAAATCATGAGTCCTCAGATTCCTTAATGGCACATGCCTCCATTTTTTTTTAAGACAATGCAGAGGTTTTTCCTCAGCAAGACATGAACTCCCCCAGGATTTCCCCCCCACTTTTTTCTCCTGGTACCTAGGCCTCTAACATAGCCTTAAGTTACACCAAAACTAGGCCACAGATGTGCTGGGGGCTTATCAGGAAGGAAAGGGACTATATCCCAAAGCAATAGTAGAATCCAAAGGAAGAGCTGAGAGATTTTGTGTGTCACTGGATTATGAGGGTGCATGATCAAAGATGTGGAGCAAAAGTTTACCAGTTAAGAAACACTCTACCAACATACAGGTTTTAACACCCTGGTAAAGCTTCGGAGTGATAGACCGAACACAATGTGTCTAGGGTAGCTCCTGCACGGGCCATACATTTACATTCTCACCCCAAAGCTATGTTAACTGTTTTTCCCTCTGTCATACTCTGGAGAGACATAAACTGGCTGGACACCCTGCAGAATATCACATTTGTCCACTATATTCATAACGTCATGCTAATTGGACAAGACGAATAAAAAGTAACTATTTGTGGAAGGCCTTGGTAAAACACTCCAGAAGAGAGGGAGAACCTCTAAGAAGTTTTAAGGACCCACAACATTAGCAAAATTTTAGGGTCCAGTGCCCTAGGGCATGGCAAGACATCCCCTTCCAAGTACAGGACAAATTACTGCTTCTTGCACTTGCACTTCCCACCATGAAGAAGGAAGCACAGTGCCTAGAAGGCCTCTTCAGATCACAGAGACAGCATATTCCACAACTGAGAATAATATGACTCATTCTGTGTGACATGAAATGTGGCCAGCTTTGAGTGGGGCCCAGCAGTAGAAGTGGTTTTGCAGTAGATCCAGGTAGCAGTGTGGACAGCCCTACCTCCCAGGCCATATAACCCAATAGATCCTATAGTACTGGAAATACCAGTAGTAAAAAAGATGCCATTAGGTTGACGGCAAGCCCTAATGCAAGAACCACAATCCAGACACCATCAGTTTTGGAACACAGTCATGCTATGTGCAGCAGAAATTTCTACTGTTCCGATAGGACATCAAGGAACCATGCAGATGGAAAAGCCAACCCTGAGCTGATTTCTTTCGGATCTACCAAGACTTGGGGTTAAAAAGGTCCAGAAGAAATCCATAGAGAGTTGGAAGTGGTACATACAGGATCAAGAACAAGCAAGACTGGACAAATCAAATGATTAAATGTGTCAGCTAGCCTAGACACCCACATTATCCACTACTGTCCTAACGGTCACATGGGGGATCCATTATCACTAGTTGAAAGAAGCTAAAAAATTTGAGCTTGGTTTACAAACGCATTGGCTTAATATCTTGGTGCAAGCCTTGGAAGACAGGAATGAGGAGAAATTCTCCCCAGGGGCAAAGTTTGGACAGTGATTTGGTTTATCTACTTTTCATGGAAAGAGAGGTTACCTGAGCTGGGCCTGAAAAATACACAGAATCATGGACAAAGTTAAATGGCTTAGCAAACTAGTCAGGAACCTGGAAAAAGAACGACTGGAAGATCAGGACCAAGGAGATCTGGGATAGTGACATGAAAATGTTCATATGGGAAGGAGCACCAAGTGTGACAGTTTTCATATTGCATGGTAATGCTCACTCAAGAGGATCCACTACTGTACCAGCAGGAAGATAACCAGAATATAAGAAGGACTCCTTCTATTCCATGATAAAAAGACAAGCCAATTAAAAGGGGAGAAAAGACTTGAACAAGCACTTCATAGAAAAAGATGAACAAATGTCCAAGAAGTACATGAGAAAGTGCTTAACATCACTAGTCGTCAGAAAAACACAAATTAAATCAACATAAAAATTCTATTTCAAACCCACTAAAATAGTTAAAATTAAAAAGACAATAACAACAATATGGAACTAGAGTTTTTATACATTGTAGCTGGTGTGTAAAATGACACAACCATTTGAGAAAAATTGACACGGCAACTTTTTACATAGTTAAACATGCATCTGTTCTTTATCCACAAAATCCCAACCGGCAGTTTTTATGCAAGAGACATGAGAACCCACGTCCACAAAGACTTATACATAAATATTCACGGAAGCTCCATTTATGATATCCCAAAACTGGAAATAACCCAAATTTCAGTGAGGTTTGATAAACTGTTGGTGATATATTCACACAGTGGAATGCTACAAGAAATAAAAAACAAAGAATATCTCATACACAGAACAACATAAGATGAATCTGAAAAAAACAAAAACAAACATGAAGCCAGACACAAAAGTGTGTATATTGTGTGATTCCATTCAAACGAAGTTCAAAAAGAGATAAAACTAATCTCTGTGATAGAAATCGGAACAATGGTAGCCTATGGGAGGATTGTAAGGATTAGAAAGAATCACAGAATCTTCTGCGTTGTTGGAAATATTCTGCATTTCATTTGCATTTATTTAATTAGAATCCACCTGCGCATTTTACCATATGTAAATTTTTACCCTGAAATAAAAAGTACAATCCAATGTCTTATAATAATTATTTCTCTGATCCTAATTTCTACCACTCAACCCTCTGCTCCAGCCCCACTGACCTCTTGTCATTCCTCATCCTTTGTACTTGCTATTCTTTCTGCCTGAGAACTATTCTGCTCCCAGACAGCCATGCTATCTGAGTTTTAAGCAAGTCTATATGAATTCCTGCTGCCTCATTGAATGTCGGTCTATGTTCAAATATGAACCTCAAATCAAAGAGGTCCACCCTTATTTTCTTACATAAAATAGATCACTTACTGTGATCACAATCTATATATCCATTTCCTGCTTCACTTTTCTTGTCTTTCTTAACACTTATCCCCTTTTGTATATATAGTGACAGCAGAAACTTGTTTCCATTATTTCCTGCTGTATCACAACCCCTAGAACACTGCCTGGCACATAGTAGGCTCTCCACAAATAGGGTGAAGGACTGTTACAGTGAATATATCTTTAAGCTAACTGTACTGAAAAATCCAAGGTATGCTCAGTCAAAGGTATTATTTAGGTGAATGCTTTGTCTACATTGTAAATTAATCCTGGGACAGCTACGATTAGAGGATTACTGGATTTCTCAGAAGGCTCCAAACAGGATTATCTGACTCCATTTGCGTTTTCTGAAAACTCTGTGATAAGAAAAGCAAAGAAAGTCAACTATCACACAGCTTTTACACCCTTCTCCATGGGGAGTTCTGACAATTTTCTGCAAAGGAAAGGAAAGGTGTCAAGATGTCATTTCATACATAGATGTGATGTGGTACAGCGAAATGATGTGAGGATCTACCAGATAAGTTTAAGAACCAGAGGAGACCTTAAGATCATCTACTAGAGACACTCTAGCTGAAACTTACTGCTAGGATTTATTATTTTATTATAACATCACCAAAAATCTTACAGTTGATTGCTGGCACATCCAGCTGTGACTATCTCCCAT